TTTTGTCTCTCTCTCTCTCTGTCTCTCTCTCTCTCTCTCTCTCTCTCTCTCTCTCTCTCTCTCTCTCTCTCTCTCTCTCTCTCTCTCTCTGGCACACACATACACACATACACATGTAGACAAAACACTCATATCCATAAAAATTAAATTAAATTGAAAACTTTATAATGAAAGAAATCTTATTTTTTTTTTTAAAGAGGAGCATGGGTCTTCTGGAAGAGCACCAGGTGCTCTTAATGGTTGAGCCATCTCTCCAGATAAGTACAGCTCAAGTGTCCCCACCTGCCTATTCCTGAGTGTGTGATTTCTCCCTCTCCTGGTTTTGGAGCTCCTCCCCTCCCCCACCGACCAGTGGAAGTTCCAAATGTATGATTTTTGTTTAAGTTCCTAAACTTTAACTTCTCTCCTTAGTCTATTATCTGTCTCAGTAGATTTCCACTTGGCTGACAGACACCATCCGGGAATCAGCTGTGGACTACAAACTGTTCCAATTGGCTTTGAGCCCTGGACTTTGATAAAACTGTGATGTGAACCAGTCCAGCAGATGTGATTGCTCCCTGTCTCTACAGCTGGGTCAGTGAACCAGATGCTTTTGATGAATACCCATTGCCTGAATCCCCTTCCGGACTTTGAGTTCAGTGGGAAATAGTTACAGAAGAGAGTACATTACCCCTTATCCTCTACAAATGGCTGGAATATTAGGTCAATAGGAAACTCCTTGAGATAGGGGACAAAATGGCTACCTATAATGCCTATTGGAGTATAAGGGAAGGTACCTATTAAAACCAAATAGATCCAAATCTATCAACAGACAATATCATAGGGCACTCGATCTGCTTTATGCAGGACAAGAAGGTTATTGTGTGGCTTTAAGAAAAATTCTTGTTTTTATGCAAACCCCTTGAAAACTATTAAAGAAAATTGCCAACTATTAGAGCTACTAATGATAGTAAGATGACCTTTGCCTCTTCATCAAGAAGGAATGTTGCTTCTATGTCAACCAATCAGGTATAATAAAAGACAAAATCTGACAACTCCAGACAGATCTCGAAGAACATACATAAGAAACAGCTCAATGCCTCTAGCCAGTGGATTGTTAAAAGTCCGATATGGCATTGGAGTTTGCCTTTTTCTCTTTCTTTTTTTTCTTTCCTTTTTTTTTTTTTTTTTTTTTTTTTTTTTTT